GCCTATGTAAAGTAGCATCCTTCCTGTCATACTCCTTATCGCCTTTGCCCCATTGAATTTTTTATGGCATTTCTTATATATTGTTATTCATTTCCTCTGATAAGATACAAAGTTCCTCTGCAACTTTTCAGACAAGAGTAAATATATAAATATTATTTTACAAACAGTAATATTTAAGGTTTCCACACTGCAGAATAGGGTTTTTGGTAACTGATACATCTCTGGCTTTCTCGAAGACTGTCTGGCACATAGTATACACTCAGTAAATACTTTTTGAATGAATTACGCCTGAATCCACTCCCAGATTTCTATCTCCGTAAGTCCTTTAGTTCCAAGGCATTTCTGGCTTCTTAATTTTAGTTAGCATGAGCTGCTGTCAAAACTAGGTTTGTGTCAACTAATCAGGCAAACTATTAGAACTGAACACATCTGCTCAAGCTAGCCCATTGAATCCAGAACTTCTGGTAAATATACCCGTATCAGTAGACTCAGTCACATCTGAAAGACTGTTTTTCCTTCCTCAGTCAGGCAACCTCAAAATCTGTCTCCACCTGTCTTGCCCAGCTTTCTACTGATAAAAATTAGCAAATTTGTGAAAAGGCTTCTCCTCCAATTTGACTTCATAATTGACATGAGAGCATGCCCTGGCTACAGGTCTGGAGAGGCCAAGGAGTGGTATCAAGGAGCCTAAGGGACAATTAAGATCTTGCCCTCAGAAAAGAAAGCAGCACTGTCTTCCAGCAAAGATGAGCCTTCTCAGTGTGGGGAGGGAGGGACCGCTTCAAGGAGCAAAGGAGGCTCAATCACATTGGGGAGTTCAGGGGACTGAATTCTCCAAAGTAAACTCAATTTTCCTCATTTCTGTTCTCACTTCCAACTCCTCCCAACCAATAAACAAAAGAAACCTGGCACAGATATGACTCAGTAGACACTGCATTTTGGCAAGACCCAGAATGAAATGAGTTTGGATTCAGCCATCTCTGCCTGTTACCTCTGGGGAGAGGGAGAAGATTGGAACTGAAGGGGGTTTGCAAAGGGTAATTAGTCTAACTGCAATTTTTTTAAATTAAAGCATTCATGGATTTTGTATGATTAAAATTAATTTCAAAATTACAATATGGTGTAAAAAGTATGAAAAAAAAATCTTTTTTCTTTAGGAACACAGTCAGGTAGACCAATCGCTGTCTGCTCTGGTACTGCCGTGTGCCTCCGCATGACATGTATCCAGAGGCATGTTCCCAGAACCCCTTCTAAAGGCTTGCTAGTGTACGTACCCAATCCATAGCATATCTGATCCTCTCTTGCCATTTCCTCCCCCCCCCACCCCCCCACCGGCTTCAACCCCTGCTCACCTGTATTCACCTGTATTCATAATCTCCCAAATCCTCCGATTTGACGGTATCTGCTCCTTCCCCAGTTGTAACTCCAGCTTCTTCACACTACAGCTCTTTATCTATGGTAACATACTCATGAACCATTTTGAAGAACAACACTGTCTCAAATTGGCTCTACATCCTAGCCAAAGAGATTGATTTCAAGGTAGAACCCTTGTTGAATAATGTAATGTATAATAAGGAATATATAGGATGGTATAGGACCTGAGAGGTACCAACCCCCTCCCAATGTTATCAGAACAGACTGCCCAAAGGAGATAACTATTTAGGATGATGATGATGATACACACACACAAACACACACACACACATTCTAGGTGTTTCATATATGTTATCTCATTTAATCCTCTCAATAACTATCAGGCAGATTCTTTTTTTTTCCCCAAGCAGATTCTACTGTTATCCATTTTGTAACTGAAAGAACCAAGGAACAGTGAGATTAAGTGACTTTGCTTGTGATCACACAGCTTACAAAGGGTGGAGCTGAAATTCAAATCTAGCAAATCCAGCTCCTGAGTCCCTGCTCTGATTGATGAGTGATAAGACAAAACTCAGCAGGGGTTGAGGATGGTATTCTATCTAGACCAAGGGAACAGTATACACAAAATAGCGAAAAACTCAGAGAACATGGGGATTGTTTGAGAACAAGGAATTCGGTATGGCAGGAGTATGCATGGTGGCAGAAAAGGATAGTGAAAGGGGTGGCAGAGACCAATCCACGAAGGGGCTTATTTGATGGATTTTTATACAATAGGAAATGAGGGGTTGCTGGAATAATACGATCAGAACTGTATTTCTGAATAGTCCCTCTGACAGTGAAATGGAGGGTGTTTTGGAACAGATTGAAACTGGGGGCATGGGTTACTCTGAGAAAGCGTTTGCATTACCCAAAGGAGCTGATAGGGGCTGAGCCAAAGGAGCAACATTAATGATGGAAAAAGATGGAGCTGAATGCTGCAAAAGGAAACTGAAACTTTTGTATTTCCAATGTGTCAACAGTATTCTGGAGGGAAATAAGATAATGATGTTCCTGTATTTGCCTCTGTCTTCCTGTTAACGAAATAGAACTCATTAAAATCTTTATAGAGTCAAAGGTAAAGTCTAATTAGGTAAACACTATGCAACTTTTCAGACAAGAGTAAATATATAAATATTATTTTATAAACAGTAATATTGAAGGTTCCACATTGCAGAAATAAACAGAGGTGAAGGTTAAATCTTTTATTTTATAGGGTTGTTAAAGACATAAACCTATTTATACATAAAAGAAAATAAGAATTCTAAACAAAAGCTTATCATGATGACATTATCCATTACTTTAACTTTTAAAACCTTTCCTTGAGCAGACATCAAAAATAAGAACCAACAAATTTTGTTACTAGGATATCTTTCATGCTTCATATATTTAAGCTCTTTATTTTACTGGACAGATGCATCATTAGTTCATTTGAAACATTACTGCTTATAAGAAAAATTTGATTTTTCTTTTCAGCAATGAGTGAATTAGTTTCACTTGGAATTTCTAAGGACTAATTTTAGTCAACATTTTCAAAGAATGATAAAGCTTAGAAATAAAGTCTTAATTAAGATAACAAATATTAGCCTTTAAAATGGAGCCAAGACTGAAATATTTGTTAATAATCAATCCACATTTATGAACATTAGCATATATTAGTGAATAGTTAAGGCAAAAGACTCTCAGATATAATCTATTTCCATCAACATGTTAAAGATGATCAAAGTATAAAATATATTTTATAAATGACATGAAAAGATTTCAAAAAGAAATTTCTATGTCACAGAAATTTTTATTAGAAAAGTACCATAAAAGTATAATTGAAAATAAAATTTGATCCTTTGAAATAAGGTAGAAAAATAAAAGGACAAGCTTTTGAATATTTACATGGATTAATAAGTTATTTGCCAAATCTCCTGAAATGATACCTCATTCCCATTAAGTCAGTGGACACTCACTATATGAGTTATTTTTCTTTAGAACTGTTATTTTGTGAAGAGTCCATTTTTTTTCTTTTTTTCATTGTGTGAGAAATAGAAGTTTGATGGGATAAGATCCTGCCTGATGAGTCCATTTTTGATCACAGAAATTTACTGAAACCTACACATATATTAATAATTACATATAGTAAATGAAAATCCTCTTATCTGAAATAAATACATTGTATATCAAAATCTTCATAATCTTTTTTTAAAAGAAGAGAGAGAGAAATGAAGAGTAAATCAGTTACATTTACATCTATTAAACTATTGAGTAGATATGAAGCCTTTGAAATCTATAATGATATTTTACATTTTGGTCATCATAATTCTATCTGCATTTCTCTTGCTTTAACATTTTAATAGTGTTCATAAAAACCTAATTCTTATCATGTGTACCTGAGAACTTTGTATGTCATATATTTTTTTAAAGAATATCTTGCTTCTTTTTGGTTAGAATTTTCTATAAAGGGCAATATTTGAAAAAGTTAATTTGTTACCTAAAGCAACTATCCTCCTTAATCATTTTCAAAGGAGTAAAGTTGCATCTTTATGAGTTTATTTTGAAAACTTGGTTACTGTAATAGAAACAAACTAGAAATTAAAGATTAAATATATTTCTATGGCTCACATTATTTTATTCAAATTTTATTCTAGAGTATTTTTTTAAATGTTCAACAGAATACTACTGTTCTCTCTGAAATGATCCCTTTTTACAGCGATGAAATTTAACACACTACTTTTTATAATCTTTTAAAAATGATACCCATACTCCAATATTAGTGAATTATAAAAGTGTCAGATATTTTAATTTGGTTAAAAAAAATAAACACCTGTATTTAAATCTTTAAAAAAATAAGCAATACACCAGTTAGGATTGAAATACATAATATTTGAACTACTATATATTTCAAAATTCATATGTCCTATAAAACTTAGCTTTCTATGAAGTGAATCACTTAATGAAATTATTGCTTTGGATATAAATGCTTTGGCCTTCAGAGTATTCTAGTCTCTAAATAAATGCTTTATTCCCCACCCACACCTATCCTTCCAAAAGAAAGCCTACTAGTAGTCACACACAGTAGTGAGCAATCTTAAATTAAAAACTATTGTGCATACAGAGCAAAGGAAGCTAATTTTTATATTAAAGCAGTTTTCACCATGCAACACCTAAAGAGTTATTAACTGTGAATTAATTACCTTTAAACCATGGTCTTTAAGGCTGAATTTTCTGAATGCTTTTAGGAGTGACATTATGCTACCACTTTTAAAATATTTTAAATGACAGATGTTTTACATTTCACAAATAGTACCTGAACAGGTTTAATTCTATATATTTCCCTTCATCTGAGAACTAAAATGCTGTAGGATCTTCCTGAACCAAAGTAAATGCCATAAATTGAGAAAGTTTATCTCAGAATGAGGATTAGGGTATTCAGAGACAAAGAAATACCCAATAACTGAGGACAGCCTGAAAAGAGTGATCTACCATTAACTGTATTTAAGTCACAATAAAAATTCAGATTACTTATGTAAAAATTCAGCTTGCTAAATAAAGATTTCATAATTATAGTGAGTAATACAAGTAAATAGAAAACTTTTCAATTATAGAAATTAAGATAATCATAAACCGACTTGTGTAATTCTCAATAATCCCACTTGCTTTGCAAGTATTCATTTGGATAACAGTATAACAGCAACAAAGAACTCCTTTAAAATGTGTATTTTTTCAGCTTTATTTCAAATGCTGTGTAGCATAAGAACCCACTGCTTAGAGATAAATTTGTAGTCATAGAAAAGGAGTATGAAACATATTCCAAAGTGCTAAAGGAATTAATTGCCCTATTAGGTAATGAATACTCAGAGGAAGGAGCACGAGTGATTCATGGCTTAAAGCGCTTGGGTCTAATCATCATTTTGGCCTCCTTGAAGGAGGACTTGTAGCCACCAGGCTGTGCCTCACTTATCCCAGGCCAGGTGCCCCAGAAAATCCCATTACGGACACCTCTGTATTTTTGGTGATAATATTTGCCATTTAAGTTTGCAGAAAGACATGCATCAAACCACCAGCCTGAACTGTAATAGAGCCCACAGTTCCCAGAGGGATATCGATCATTGTCCCTGTCTGGGGTGGTGAAGAACTTCAGATCATGGTTGTAATGTTTACTGAAATGTAGGGCATCTCCAGCGGTGCCATTATAGTTACCGATGTGTAAACGGTATCTGAGAAACTCACTAGCCACATAAAACTGATCATACAAGGCATAGAGTTTGACACCGTTGAAGTCTTCAAGATCTATTCTTAGAATCATTTCCTTACTCTTAGTCAGAAGATGAATTTTATCGTTCCCCAACCAAAATTCTCTTCTGAGGTTTCCAAAGCCTACTTTGTAGTCTCGCCACATTCTGGTGAAGTTGATGCTTCCGTCGACACGGGCCTGCAGCACTGTCCAGCCTCCCCCCATGGTCTCCATGTCACAGAAAACTTCGAAGCTACTATTTTTGGGATCCGGTGTAACTCTGTAGAGATCACTGCTTCTTTTGCCTATTGTGTAGTAGTCAGAGCAATCTTTATATATCAGATGTTGAACTGAAGGGGGAAGAAGAGAGAGGCATCGGATTCTGTTCATAGAAACTATGCATCTTAAAAAATCTTTGTATTTACAAAAGTAGTTTGATAATTCAGTCGAAGGTGTTAATGAAACCCTGCTCTGCAAAACTCACTTGAACCTGTTTAGCAAATGTTTATTAAGGCCTCAGAATAAGAACTTGGTGCTATAAAAGCAGACAAGGCTCTCCAACGTGACTTGGTTGGTAATCATAGTGATAATGTTCACAACGAACAACAACGAGACCCCCATCAATAAAGTAGTTTTAGTAAGTTAGTAAATATTTAGTGAGTGCTACTTATGTGTTCTAGGCATTCTGCCAAAGACTTAACATTTTCACACTTACTCTGCACATTGACCTTACGACGTAGGTATTACTTCCAATCTGTAGGTGAGGATATTTAGGCTCAAAGAGAATCAGTGGCTTGCCCAAGTTCACAGAAGTATTAAGTGGCACAGCCAGGACCCATACTGATATCTGGCTGGCTGTAAAGGTTGTTCTTGTAACTACTACATTCCTTAGTCCTAAAGGACAGATGCTTCCAACTCCCCTGAACTGCATTCCACGTATACAGAAAAAGCACAAGTTTCTATGTCCTTTCACCTCAAGGGGCCGATACCCTCCTCTCTCATAAAGTTTTATAGGATATGTTCCAAATGATGTGTTAAAATTCTAACATACAGAATTGATCATAAATTCACATTTGTTTTCCTCGCTTGACAACTAAATAAAGAAGATCGAGTGAAAAAAAAAGATTTTTAAAAATAATATACCAGTATTCTTATTCTGAATTTATTATTTGGAAAGTATTTCGCCAGTGTTTCATATGTTTGGTTTCTAGAAAGAAACAGCAGGTGGTTATGTCCAGGGCAAGTATAATAATCAGTTAACATGGTTCTGTAGGAATCAAATACAGATATTTACTCTCAAATATTTCTTATAAAGATCTGGGCCAGATAAGGTAAATTTAATACGAGCTTCTCAGAGGCACAAAAAATCTATTCATGTGTGTTTAGAACTCACAGCATTCCAATATTTCCCCCAAACTTTTAGCACAAAGATAGATGGTAGAAAATTGTGCATATCATTACAAGTTGCCATGCAGCATCAAATCTAATGTGTGCCCAGAGATGGCACTAAGACGTGAGCCTCTGCCTTGCAGTGCAGGATACATTCAGACACAGGCTGCCAGGAGTATTAGCAACAGCGGTCCTTGAAAGCCCTGCCTACCTTCAGATCCCTGGCAGAGCCCCTAGGGATGGAGCACTCATGAGGTGCTTGTTCCAAATGAATGTGACCTCTGTCCCAGGCATCATATCCCTCCAACCTCACACTCATGGTAAGTGGAGGTCCTAATGCAGAGATGGCTTTCCAAAGTGTAGCAAGACCATCAGGAGCAGTGTCCCAGGAACTCAGGTAGAAAGGCAGCGTTTGGAGGAACCAGTGCCACAGCCAGAAGGTGGTGGGTATCGTGGTAGTAGTTAAGTAGTTAAGTAGTAGTAGTTAAGTCTGTGGTCTTCTGGTATGCCAAAACTCTCCCCTTAAAATGTTTTTGGGCCACTCGAAGCAAAAAGTTCTGCACACACATGAAGCCATATAGATGCTTTTATTCCATCTATAAAATCTCCTGTTTTCACTAGGTATTTGGGATTACCAACTGTAGATAAGCAAAAATCTTTCAAAGATTCCTTGTGGCCACATGAGAAGGAGCAGTCAGCCAACCACAGGAAACTTGATTCCCAATGAACAAAGCATAACTGGAAATATTGCCTTATCTCTATTGTTTTCAAACATTTCAGTGAAGAGATAAGTTAAATGCACTGAAACATTAGGAACTAATATCTCTCTATTCCAGTTTGTGTGTCGCTCTGGCATTAGCAAATAAGCTCTTTGAAACTGGAAGTGCTTTCACAGGATACAGAACTAATTACGATTTTTGTAATTAAGTCTTATATAATTTCTGTGGCCACATTTGCAAAGATACTAGCTTTTCCTGTACTACCTTGATGACTAAAAGGCTTATTTATTTCCTCTGTCATCTATTTAACTTATTTGCTCAGGTTAATGTTTACAGATACTATCTAGCTGTATAATAGTCATGAACAACTGATAAGAATACATTGTACATACCTGGACGTGACTGTATTTGTTCTTGAATGGGACACTTAGACGAACACTTGCCATCCAAACTATTGACAACCGAAGTTAGATTTGCCACTTTGCTATCAACATAATTTTCTATGTTGTTCATATTTACAAGATTGAGCTTCTCCAGGCGACCCTGAAGCAAGTCGATCTCCTCCTTTGCATTCTTTAGGTCAGAGGACAGCTTGTTCACCTCACTCTCTAATTCTTGAACTCTGTTGTCATCGGCTTCTCCCTGGGATCCCGGGCTAGGTGACAGCAGTCCATTTCTGCCCGGGTCCCGGCTGTCGTCAGCTTGCAATTTGCAGTCCTGGCAAGATTTCTTCAGGCTATTTACCATTTCCTTGAGGTTCTGGACTTCCTTGAACACCTCCTCGATCCTGCCGAACTGCCTGGGGAGCTGAATCGTCAACGGGGGCAGGCTCACCTGGTAGGGGCATTGGCCGCCCTCCTCGCATTTCCCTCTGCTTTCTAGTCGCACCGGGCAGGCATCCCTGGCCGTTTCATCTTTAATTTCCTCCGTTTCATTGTTTGCCACAACCAACAAGCCGTAAGCAGCAAGGACAGCCGAGCTCAGCCAGCACCAGCTGGCTGGCTTCATGGCGGCGGCGGCGCTCACCCCTGCAGGGACGCGTGCGGGGCCGCGCTGTTTTAAGAGCCGCAGCTGCCTGCCTGAGTCAGGCGGTCTGTGTTCTCAGAAAAGGGCGGGAGCGCTTGCATCACCAGTTTCAGAAACACAGAGGAAGGAGCCTGTCCTCTTCACACGCCGCTGGCCAAGACCTGATATTGATTCTCAGAAGAATACGCATCAGAATTACTGCAGTTGGTTGGATGCGCATACGCCTCACGTTTCACTTCCATAATTTAGTTTCTAAAGCGCACACACACACAAATCTTGGATTTCACAATAATTACCCTCGAAATCAATTGTACTTCATGCCATCGGGGAAAACTAGCTTTTAAAGAGAAAAATTAATGTGCTAGTTACCCAGAGGCAAGAACAGAAAGTTTACAAAATGGAAATGGTCTTTTTTTTTTTTTTTCCTTTTTAGAATGGGGTCTTTGAGGATTCTGTAAATTTTTCATGTTGGACCTTCAGGTGAAAACTTAAGCACTTGAAATTTAGAAATAGGCCAAGAAGTGCAGCTTTCTGATTCATGCCATGCACTTTTGTTTCATCTATTCGAAAAAGGGAGAAAACTGGTAGAGAGAAAGGGGTTGATTTTCATTCCTCTAGCCCTAGCACAGTGTAGAGCAAATGTCTCTATGACAAAAACACATTTAAAAGTACGTCATTGCCTTTCACCAAAACCAGCAGCCTTCTCCTTCGCTTTCACCCCCATTTTTGTGATTGTAAGGTCAGTCATGTTCTACAGTTGCCCACGAGTGAATCTTTGAACATTTCCCAGCTCTGTTCTGATTCTCTTCCTGTCCCCAGCATCTTTGCCTTCCCTTCCCACTGGCAACCCCGTGTCCGCGCTCTCTCCCTCCCACAGTAGGTCCCTCTGCCACTAGCTCGTCTCTGCCTTGCCCAAACACTTGCCAGCATTCATGCCTTTTCAAACTTTTCTTGGTTTAAACCTTTTTGCGCCGTTTTCAACCTTTTCTCCTCAAAAGCTGAGGGGCAGGAAGGCAGAACAGCTTCAATTGGAGAAACAACCTACTTTTAATTAGTTTTGCATCTTGGCATCTCATATCAGGTTTTTTATTTTAAAAAGGATTTTTTTGGCTTTAAAAATAATTTCAAAATAATTGATATAGATAAAAACCCAAGGGCGCCTGGGTGGCTCAGTTGGTTAAGCGACTGCCTTCGGCTCAGGTCATGATCCTGGAGTCCCTGGATCGAGTCCTGCATCGGGCTCCCTGCTCGGCAGGGAGTCTGCTTCTCCCTCTGACCCTCCCGACCCTCCCCCCTCTCATGCTCTCTCTCTCTCAGTCTCTCTCTCTCAAATAAATAAATAAAATCTTAAAAAAAAAAAAAAAAACCCAAATTCTTTATTGTATTACTCAAGGTACTCTATAATCTATCTCCTATTTATTTCTTTAAATTTATGTCTTGTGACTTTTCTATATACCCCCTTCATTCCAACCAGGTACCCTATTCACCCTTTTTTTTTTTAAAGATTTATTTATTTGACAGAGAGAGACACAGTGAGAGCAGGATCACAAGCAGGGGGAGAGGGAGAGGGAGAAACAGGCTTCCCGCGGAGCAGGGAGCCCGATGCGGGGCTCGATCCCAGGACCCTGGGATCATGACCTGAGCCAAAGGCAGACGCTTAACGACTGAGCCACCCAGGCGCCCCCACCCTAACTCTTCATGTTCTCTAAATGTGTCAGGCTCGCTCTACACGTTGGCAATTGTATTTTTTCCTGAATATTTGGATGAACTGGATTCCATCCCTGGGTCTACCTCTTATTGGAGGTACAGATCATTACCTTTACTGAGGCTTGGTTCCTATAGCTGTGAAGGGGGTATCTGGCTATTCTTCCCTCATACGAGAATGATAATTATAGAAACTTTGAGTGAAGTGTGTACCAAATGTGGTGTTATAAGTGTAACATTCTTTCCCAACAAATTTATCAAACACATTCTGCACAACTTATGCCTCATTTTCCTCCATCTTCTTCCAGCTTTTTAAAAAATGAAGTTTGTTTTCTCTTCATTCCATTCAGTGCAGTCAAACCAATTTAGACAAAATTTTTTAACTTTCTGACTAAAAATGTCTAATTAACCTTTTAATTTCATTTTCTCTCCTCACTTGCTTTTAAGCTGTGACACTCCCCTGTTTTGAGGGGAGAAATAGATGAATGAATAGATCATTTTAAAAGAAAGAGAATGATGATAATATAGGTAATACATAAAAATATATTATAAAGTAAAAATATATATGAATAATATTTAGTTTAAGGTACATTACTAAATGCCCTTAAGTGGCTAGGGTACAATCTATATATTTAGCCAGTTAATTATTTATTAAGGACCTTCTATATATATTAAGCACTATGCTAGATCATATATAAAATGCATGCCATGGCCTCATTCATTCATTCATTTATTCATTCATCCACCATCCCTCCATCCCTCCTTCCATCATATATTAACTAAGCATCCTTTACATGTAAGACACTATTCAGGCACTAGGCTACATTAGTGAACAAATCAAACAAAAATTCCTGTTTCCTTCTTAGGCAGGGCTGTTGAGGACCTTGTATTTTCTTCATTCTGGACTTTGAAGTAAATCATAAGCACATTTAAAAGTTTCTGAATCTAACGAAAGTGCAGCTTTCTGACTCTTGCAGTGGGCTTTTGTTTCATCTCTTTGAATCAAGGATTGCTTTTCCAAGCACTACTGCTGATTCTTGGGCCCTGCACCCCCACCTAGCCAAGGGCCAGTGGCATGGTTCCACCTAAAAAGTGTGGATGTGCTGTAGGAACTGGCTCCTGTCCCTTGAGGACCCATAGAAAATTCCCCAAATAAGGGTAGAGAACTGCTTTGTTAGTCAGTTCTCAATGACACTGGCAGGTGATCCTCTGGGTTCTTTTGTTTGTTGTTTGTTTCTGGGTTCTTAATTTAAAAAATCAGTGGTCACTTACTGCAGGCAGGCCTTAAGTGACTACAACATGAAAGAGGTTCAACCTGACTAATGAGTTTATAACCCATGGGGCCAGAGAGTGTGTGCTACAATTATTCAAGAAACTTTCACCAATATTATGTCACTACATCCTCCCATCTCTACAGTTACCATGTGCACTTTCAGATGAGCAAAGAAAGGGCTCAAAGCATTAAATACTTGCCTGTTTTACAGGTTTTTTTAAAAAGATTTTATTTATTTATTTGACGGAGAGAGACAGAGCGAGAGAGGGAACACAAGCAGGGGGAGTGGGAAAGGGAGAAGCAGGCTCCCCGCAGAGCAGGGAGCCCGATGCAGGGCTCGATTCCAGGACTCTGGGATCATGACCTGAGCAGAAGGCAGATGCTAAATGACTGAGCCACCCAGGCGCCCCTGTTTTACAATCTTTAAGAGACAGAGTTGGAATTTGAACCTGGATCTGACTTCAAAGTTCATGTCTTTTCTCCCACGCCACACTGCCATGTAGGGGGAAAGATAATACTGGAGAGATATATTCGTACCATGTTGTGGAGAACCTGGTGCTTAATCACTGCTTAGATCAGTGGGGAGCCAGTGAAGGTTTTTGAGCAAAGGAATAATATAATCAGTTAAGCACTTTAGATAATCTATCAATGAAATTCTCGATGCACCGGAAAGAGAAAGATTAGGCAAGGAGAGCAGTTTAGAGGCCATTTAGATAGTCCAAGTTTTTGTTTCCCAAAGTGTGTTTCCTGGAACATGAGTAGCTAGATGCTGATGAACAGAGTTTCAGGACAAACAGATCTGAGAAATATCAGTCATATACTAAAGTGTGTTATGGCTGGCCGAGAGGAAAGTGATGGTTGCTGCATTTTTCAAATGTTAGTTAACAATAGGAACCTTCCCCCGCCAGCCCCGGGACCATTTTTAGGAATGGATCTTCTACTAGAAACCAAAAGGAAATGGGAGTCCTAGGTGAGAGGTACTAGTGTGATGGCAGGAGGGGTGGTAAAGTGTTTGCAGACATTATTACCAAGGAGTGACAGAAGCCATGAGATCTGACCACTGATCAGAAATGGAGGGAAATGGAGAACTATGAAGTATGACCCTGGCTGAAGTTAAGTAATGTGGCAATGAGCGTAAGGAGCAAGCAGTAGGTTGGGGAGAGCGTAGAAGTATCAGTTCTGAATACATTGACAAGCCATTAAATAGAAATATCTACCGAACAGTTGGATATCTAGAAATGAAATCCTCAGAATATGTGCGGACATCAACTTGAAACCACAGGAACCAAGAGGACGGTCACAGAAACGGGACAAGAACCAGAAGAGTGCAGTGTCATGGAGACTAGGAGAGAAGGTTTCAAGCAGGCAGCTTTCAGATAATCACAAATTTGAAGAGCTGACTTTCTGTCCTCAACGCCTATGGAATTCCCATCATCTGACCTTCACCTTTTGCCTCCTCCCTTTTGCTGGAAAGTCTTTCTGGACTTTCTCATTTCCAGTCTGCCCAGACTTGAATATCATCCTCTGACTCTTCATCGCAGCATCAGAATCTTCCCTTCTTCCCCACATCTGCCTTCAACCCAGAACTGACATGTTATGCCCATTTACAGATTGGTTTTTCAGATCTAAACAAATTATTTAGCACCAACATATGGTGGAATTTCTATAAGCCACATATGAAAATTAATTGCATCAGTCTATATTCACAGCATATTCACACTTCTTTATTGTTTTCTTATTCAAAGTATATTCAAGGGAGGATCTGCATTTACTGTATTTGGGTCAGATTTCAAAAGTAAACTTCCATTTCCTGTAATGCCGTTTATTTTTTTAAAGGAAACACTTTATGTCTCTATTTGTACCAAAGGAAGTTAATATGACAATCATTTATAGCACTGAGATATTTTCACTGATATTACATGTATTAACATATTTTAGTTTCTGATTTATTAAATTCAAGAGCATTCGATTATACTTTAGGGAATATGTCCTTTTAGGATAATAAAGAATTTAAAACATTCACTTTTTAAACACTTGATTTGAAATGTCAACAGCAAATAATGTTTATTTTAATATTCCTTAGGGGTCTTAGTCCTTATTCATCATA